TGACAAACGAAAGGCTTCTATTCAGAGATATCTCTCCTGAACCGAAGCCAAAAAAATTGTTCTTGTAGCTTAGCCAATGTCCTGTCATTCCCAACTTAAGCTGCTAAGTCTCCGATGTGTAAGAGTTTAATAAGTTGCACTCTTAAGGATGTGTCTGAAATATATAATTGGTTCCATTTAAAGAAATAGCCATGGCGGGAAGTATTGCACTGACCAAATGGAAGAGAAGCCTTGGCCTTCAACATACATCTCTTTAATGGAATCATGGCCCATTAATTCAGTTTCTAAAGTGTAATGGGCCGATCTCCTTAATGGGCAGATCTCCTACTAAGAGCATTTGCCACAGGGTTTTAAGCTCCCAAATTGAGTTTCAGCACAAAACTTATGGAGGAATAGAACCCACCGTGCAACCTGCAATTCACAGTTTTTATAGAAAAGAGAAACTACAAGGCTTGATGGTCACTACACACCACACAATTTTGGTGAAGCAGGTAGTATTCCCATTGTTTGAGAGTCTGAACAATTGCATATGGTTTTTGCTGATAAATAGCCCATTTTGTGCAGCGTAGTTGAGTTTTTTGCTGAAAGATGAAATAGAACATTGTTGCTCTTGGAATAGGATAGCCCCTATTTTAATATCTGTAGCATTGATATCAACATAGAAAAGTTTATCAAATTCTGGAAGAGTCAAACTTGGAGCTATCATAATGGCTTCTTTTATGATTTAAAAGCTACATGGTTGCTAGAGGTGTCAATCTGGGTTAGTGGGTCAGGTTCGGTTCCGACCTAAAAATGATCCAACCCGAATAGAGTCCACCCGAACTCAATCGAATAATAAATTGGTCGAAAGCTAATACCTGACCCCAACTCAAGCTTGACCTGCTAACCCAAACCCAACACGAACATTCATGCTTATTCAGGACATCTTTGGTTTTCTGGTTCAACCTGAACCCCATCTGAATAATAAATGGGTCAAATTCTCTGACCCAAACCTGACTCAAAAAATATTCAGGTCAACCAAACTCGAATGTTTCGAGCTGAGTTTGTGTTGTGTTGGCATGCGAGTCAATTTTGTCACCCCTAGTTCTTACTCGCAGCTTCAAACTAATGTTTTGTATTGCAAAATTTTTTCCAAGGGGGACATAATGTAGTTGAATCCACATATAAATTGACGATAAAAGTTAGCCAATCCATGGAAACTATGGACTTCAAATAGCGAGGCAGACATCCACCATTCTTGAATGATCCAAACCTTTTGTGGATTCATCTTAAGTCATGTTGCCGTTACAATAAAGCCATGGAAATGAATGTTTGAAAGAATGAACTCACATTTTGAAATGTATAGAAAAATATTATGAGTTCTTATAACTCCAAAGATTCGGGATAAACAATGTATGTGATTTTTTAACAAAGAGTTGTGTACAAGTATATCTTCGAAATAAGAAACACAAAATAATTCCTAGAAATATATTTTTTTTTACCTCATTCAGGAGCCGTGTGAAGGTACTAGAGGTGTTAAATAAGCCAGAAAGCATAACCTTCCACTAATATTGCCATTTATGTGTTTTGAACGGTTTTTTCCATTCATCTCCCAGACAAATCCATATTTGATAATCTCCACTCTGTAAGTCAAGTTTAGAAAAATACTTAGCTCAAACAAGTTTATCTAGCATGTCTTCCAATCTCAACATAAAAAATTGATACTTGATAGTAATTTTAGTAATGACTCAACTGTCAACACACATTTACCAACTACAATATTTATTTGGAACTAAGAGTACAGAGACTGCACAAAGACTTAAGCTATGTTGAATTTACTATTTAACCAATAAGTCATCAATCTTATCT